TATGACATTACCATTCCCAGACCTGTCAGCAAGCGACCTTCATCACTTACCACAGATCAGGAAAGGTTACTCCACTCCCAGACCCGTCAGTAAGTGACCTTCATCACTTACCACAGATCAGGAAAGGTTACTGATGGGTATCTGGCCAGTTTTCCAAAGGGCTTTTTCATAGGCCTTATAAAGTCAACCTTAATTCCTTAATGCAATCTGGAAATGCTATTCCAGCCAAAGCCTTGGTCGTATTAGGCCTGCAACTAACCTGGCCACATGGGATTCTGCCTCAGTTTCTTACAAGTATACCTGCACAAAGTCTTTTCACTGCTCTTTCTCAAGCGGCTTTTTTGGTCAGAGGTATATAGGCGTTTCACCTATAGCCCCCTAGATCTCAGCCTCTCCCTTTTAAAGCAGCCAGGGGAAAAAAATAGACCTATTACCCTCAGGCTCAGACCTCCACAGCTGAACTCCCCCCACCCACCACTGGGGCTTCTGTGGCTCCCACAGCCCCAAGGAAAGAATAAACCCCAAGTACCGCTGCCCAGCTCTCTCTGTGATCTGGTTCCACTGGGCTTTTTGCACTTACTCTCCTCCCCCGGTGTGCCTCTCCCCTCTCCCTGCCAGCCCCTTGCCTCTCCTCCACAAGCCTTCCTCCTCTGTCCCCTAGTGGACAGCCCTTCTCCAAGGCCCAAACCTCTGAGGGCCTGCTTTGTCATTGCTATATGTTGAGGTTTGTGTGATAGCTCTCTTCCCCGTGGACCCAGAGCTCCTGGAGGGCTGAGCCATGTCATAGTCCCTTCTGTGTTCCTAAGGCCCAGCTAGGGACTTGGATGTGTGCTCAGCCTCTTGGAGAGTCATTCCCCTAAAATTCTCCAGTGAGGTTGGGCTGTGGCCTCCAGGAAAATGCAAGCTTCAGAGGCAGGATCTGGTCCTTCCCAATGGGGACTGGGCCCTCCTGAGCCCCACCAGGGTCCTCCCAGTTCCTGGCCTCTTCAGTGCAACTGCCACATGCACACCATACCATGGCTTCTCTGAGAGAGCTGACCCCGGGGCCCTCCCTTGGTTGGCCCGTTGCTGAATGGGCCTGATGGGGAGATCTGCAGAGACCATTGGTATAGGAAGCAGAGAAACAAGAAGACAGAAAGCAGAAGTCACGAGGCAATGGAAGCCACAAGCACAGTGTGGACTCATGATGAGAAGAGGAAGAAGCCACAGAGCAATGGCAAAGGGTTGCCAGGTCAGGGAAATGATGATCAAGTGACAGATGTAGCAGCTGAGGGACCCTTGCTCTGTGCTTGAGGTAAGCTGGGCAATGTCTATTTACCTCAGGCCTCCTGAACCTTCATGCCAAACTCCACTGGCAGCAGGAACCAAGCTCAGGCCTGACAGGGTCAAACCCAGCTGGTGCTGACACCTGGATATATGAGGAAGACCCCTCAGAGCTGCAGTCTTATTGTCCCTTGGCTCCTGGGATGTCCAGCTCGTGCATGAGGTCATTTTAAGCACCTGTTAGTTGCTGGCCTCTGGGTGGCTGAAGCTGTTGCTCAATGGTTTGCCCAGTGTGGCCCTGGGCCCCCTTATGCACCTGCAGCTGCCTAAAGAGCTTCTCCCCTCCCTTTAAGTATTGCCTCATTCCCAAATGTTTGGAGTACGGGGAGAGGGACAACTTGAAATTCTGGGATTCTGAAGTTGCTCAAGAGGACCCAAGGGATAGCCAGGGACTTGGAGGGAATCAGAGTCATCATGTGAAATTTAGAATTAGATCAAATCTAAGAGATCCTCAGATTCATCTAATTTTATTCTACAGGAGGGGAAGATGAGGCCCCAGTTGGGGCCAGAGTGACTCAGCCAGCTGGCAGCCCACGGGTCTCTCTTGAGAAGCCCAAGGTACCTCAGAAGGTGAGTTGACTTCTGAAATTCTTGTTGGCCTGAGGCAATCTTTGAGCTCAGCATTTGTGTTATTGGTCTGGGCCCTCAAAGCCAATCCTCATCCTATCTGGGCCCTTGTGGATCTCATCTGTAAGGAGATCTGACAGAAGCCAGCAGAGAAAAAGCAGAAAGCCTTTGGAAAGGAGTGAGTGGCTCCAGCCGCAGTGGTTCACACCTATAATCCTAGCACTCTGGGAGACTGAGGCTGGTAGATTGCCTGAGCTCAGGAGTTCACGACCAGCCTGAGCAAGAGTGAGACTGTCTTGAAAAATTGCCAGGTATTGTGGAGGGTGCACATAGTCCCAGCTACTCTGGAGGCTGAGGCAAGAGGATCATTTGAGCCCAAGAGTTTGAGGTTGCAATGAGCAATGAGCAAAAAATGTGAGACTCTGGCAAAAAAAAAAAAAAAAGATACAACTCTTCTAGAGGAAAACCCAGCAATACCTAATAAAATTACATATGCACTTATTTTCTGACTTAACAACCTGACTGCTAAGAATTTATCCAAAAGCCACACCTACATAAATATGAACATACAGATGTGCAAATGCCCAAGATTATTCATTGCAACATTGTTCATAATTGGAATATACTGGAAATGACTCAAGTGCTCATATATTGGGGAATGGTTGAATAAACCATGATATGTCTACACAATGGATAACCAACCATACAGTTGTAAAAAAGAATGAAGAAAATCTCAATGACCTGATGTTGGGGTGCAGCCCCCCCCCGTAACAGTAGTTTATTCTCAAGTGCTCCCTGAGGAACGTGACTCTAAGCTTCTTATTCTGAGAATAAGTTTAGATCTGCCTAAAAGCAGACAGTCACATGTTTACAGATAAGATAGCTGGTGGGTCTCACCAGGTTGCAGCTGGAGATAACACTTGCTGAGGCAGTGGGCTGCTGTATCCTGTATCTCCCCCCTTACTTACACAACAGTAGTCAGTTTTAGCTTAGAGGAAATGGGCAAACAGGAACAGACCTCCTGGCACTTTTGTGGTTAAGTCTGAAGTAAAAATGCCTTTTTTAACTGTGCTTGTGATCAGTAGCAGTTTTGTGCTGATTTGGAGTTTTACTGGCAGTTTTAACATCTTACC